TTAAGTAATATATTATTTCCTTTTAGCGCTTAATAATTTACATGATCCCTTAATAATAAATAACTTGCTCCACGACCTTTTAACATTCGACACGACCTCTCCCCCCTTCCCTCGTCTCCCCACTCCCCGCCGGAACGAGAATTTTCCTTTTCACAATAACATAAATAAAAATAAGTTTTTTTTTTTTTTTAAATTGAAAAATTGAAATTTTAATAAACATTCATAAAAATGTCTTCTTCTTTTTCTTCTTTTTAACAAAAAAAAATTAATATTTTATTGTTTTCTTATAAATAATAATAATAATATTAATAATATTAATTAATGAGAGAAAAAATTATTTTTTTTAAAATTTAATATAAAGAGGAGTAAGGTTAACGACTTCGTTTTGTAAAAAAAAAAAAAGAAAAAGAAAAAGAAAAACTTGATAGAAAATGTGGAAAATTTTTTTTTTTTTACGTACATACTTTTTCGGTTTCGGATTTACATGTTTTTCCCTTAATAAAATATTATGTAATTAAACAACAAGATCATAAAAATAAATAAGTAATCGGAATGTGTTATTTAAAAAAAAATATATATTATAGATTTTATTAAAATAATAATAATGATAATAAAATTTAGTACGACTCATAGTGGAATTAGGTCATTTCATTAAAAATTAGTAAAAAAAAAAAATGTTTGAAATAATCCGTTTATTATTAAAGAGAGGAGGAGGTTCTGAGATTGGATTTTCCACGTTGACTTGGATACCGATTGGGGGGGGGGCCGAAGTAGCCAGGTTGAATTTGAAAAGGGGAAAAATCCACCCGAAAGTTACCGAGTTGATAGTCGTGAGTTCAAATCCTGAGAGTAGGAGTTCAATTTTAACTCGTCCAAACAAGAAGAAACCTGTACCTAGATAAAGGGATAAGTGACCTAGCACCCTCCCGAGGCATTGGTGATGCGCCTTGACCATTGTTCGAGGGGGTAAAACTGTGGTTATTATCCAAATAAGGTAAAATGCAAAATTGCGATGTAAAAGGAAAACAGATGAACGATCAACAGGGTTCGGGACCCCGGAAAATTTTCACTCTCTCTCTCTCTCTGGAAAGTCACAGACTCTGCGGAAGAGGCAGGAGGAACGGTTATAACAGATGGGTACTGTCTCTCTCTCTCTCTCGAAGAGTACAAAGGGAAAGTACCGAAATTTTCCTCAGGTGGGACTCCCACTTTCCCGAGTGTGATGGACCATATGATTTTGGCTCAAAAGGGAACGTCTAGGAATTTTAGTTGGATGACCTTTTATTTGGATTTTAGTTGAATTTTACCATGGAGGACCCCCCTCCAAAAAAAATGCATAACCGGAAATGATTTTAGAGTAAACAATAATAATATTTAAACTAAACCGGAAAGCGCATAAAAATAAAAATCCAAAATACTTTAATTCGTATAAAAAAATAAAATAAATAATAATAATAATAAAACACAATATTTTATATACATTTATGTACATTATTTAAATCGAGTTATTACATTTTGATTTTTATTTTTTTTTTTAAACGTTAATAATTGATTTTTTTAATACACATAAAAACATTTTTATTTATTTTAAAACTACAATAAAAAAATTTTTTCACTTCACTTATTGAATCTTTTTTTTCTCTTTTCACATGTTCTCATTAAACTTTAATAATAATAATAATAATAATAGTGATTAAATTAAAGTGAAATTTGTTTTACATAAAAATTTACCGGTGACTTATTAAGGAAAAAAAAAAAAACTCGTGTAATAAATTGGAATAACAAGAATAAAAAAAAAAAAAAAATTATGATGCGTACACAATTCTTTTTTTTTAATCGATTAAATTCATTTTTAATTTATTTTTATTAAAAAAATTTTTTTTTTTTTTTTGGGATGGGAAAATATAAATGGAAAACCGTCAACTGCATCAAAATAATATGTT